ACATGCAATAAGGAATGAAAGGGGTGAAATCACTACAGATCCTGTAGAAATTCAGATCATCAGTACCTACTTCAAAAATCTCTACTCTCATAGGGTGGAAAACACAGAAGAAATGGACAGATTTCTAGATGCATATGAATTGACAGAGCTGAATCTTTAAAAAAGATTAAAAAATCCTGAATAACTCAATATCAGCCAGCAAAATTGAAAATGTAAAAAGTAAAAAACTTGCCAATGAAGAAAAACCCAGGTCCTAATGGATTCACAGCTGAATTCTACAAGAATTCTACAAGAATATAGATGCAAAAATTCTCAATAAAATACTAGCAAACAGAATACAACACATATGAAGATTATACACCATGACCAACTGGGATTCATCCCAGGAATGCAAGGATGGTTCAATATGTGCAAATCAATTAATGTAATACACCATATCAGTAGAACCAGAGAGAAAAATCACATCATCTCCACTGATGCAGAAAAAGCGTTTGATAAAGTCCAACACTTACTGATGATAAAAACTGTACAGAAAATAGGAATAGATGGTCTTTACCTCAATCTGACCAAAGCTGTCTGTGACAAACCAATGGCTAACATCATACTAAATGGTCAAAAGTTGAAAGCTTTCACTTTAAAGTCAGGAACAAGACAAGGATGTCCACTGTCACCACTCCTATTCAGTATAGTTCTGGAAATATTAGCTAGAGCAATTAGGTGAGAGAGAAATAAAAGGAATAAGAATAGGAAAGGAAGAAGTGAAATTATCATTATTCACAGGTGATATGATACTCTATATAAAAGACCCCAAAAACTCCACCAAAATGCTTAGATTTAATAACCAAATTCAGTAGCATAGCTGGATACAGAGTCAACACTCAAAAATCCATAGCATTCCTGTACACAAACAACAAACAGACTGAGAGAGAAATTAGGGAAATCACACCTTTCACAGTAGCATCTAAAAAAATGAAGTACTTAGGAATCAGTCTAACAAAAGAAGTAAAAGATCTATACAGTGAAAATGACAGTGCTCAAAAAAAGAGATCAAAGAGGATATCAGAAAATAGAAAAATATTCCTTGCTCATGGATAGGAAGAACTAACATTGTGAAAATGACCATACTTCCAAAATTGTTGTGCAGATTCAATACAATCCCAATTAAAATACCATTAGTATACCTCACAGATCTAGAGAAAACATTCTTAAAATTCATCTGGAACCAGAAGAGGCCTAGAATAGCAAAAGCTATCCTGGGAAACAAAGGAAAGGTAGGAGGCATCCCAATTCCTGACTTGAAATTATACTACAAAGCTACTGTAATAAAATCAGCATGATACTGGCAACAAAACGGACCTGAGAATCAATGGACCAGATTAGGAGATGCAGACACAACTACAACTACACTCAGCCATCTTATCTTTGACAAAGGTGCCAAACATGCTGACTGGAAAAAAGATACCCTCTTTAATAAATGGTGCTGGAAAAACTGATATCCCCCCCCAACCCTGCTGAATCCTAAAATTAGACCCATGTCTATCACCGTGCACCAAACTAAAGTCAAAATGGATCAAAGATCTAAATATTAAAACAGAAACACTAAATTGACTGGAAGAGAAAGTAGGTAAAAATCTTGAAGACATAGGGATAGGCAGAAAATTCATGAACAAAAACAAAAATGCATGGGAAGTACTACAAAGAATCATTAACTGGTATCTCATTTTATTGAAAAGTTTTTGCACATCAGAAGAAATCACCAACAGAGTAAAAAGAAAACCCACGAACTGGGAAAAAATTTTAGCCAATTGTCCCTCAGACAGAGGACTTCTATTTAGAACAAATAAAGAATTAAAAAAATCAGACCCCAAAAATTCAAAGGCCCAATCCAAAAATGGGCATCTGAGATGAATATACACTTCTTACATGGCGAAGTACTAATAGTGAATAAATACATGGAAAAATGTTCAACATCATTAGTCATTCGAGAAATGCAAATTAAAAAAAACAGTGAGATTCCATCTCACCACAGAAAGAATGGCTATCATCAAGAAATCAACCATAGGGGCTGGGGATTTAGCTCAGTGGCAAAGTGCCTGCCTGGCAAGTGCAAGGTCGTGAGTTCGGTTCCCGGTACCGGAGAAAAACAAAAAAACAAACAAACAAAAAAGAAATCAAGCAATAACAAATGCTAGAGAGGCTGTGGGGAAAAGGAACTCTACTCCACTGCTGGTGGGAGTGTAGATTGGTGAAACCACTGTAGAAATCAGTGTGATTTCTATCAACACTAGGATTAGAAGGCCCTCACAAAACTATGATTAGAAGGCCCGCTTAACCCAGCTATTCCCCTTCTGTGTATTTCCCCAGAACAATTAAAAACATCATACCACAGCGATACATGTGCATCCATGTTTATAGCAGCACAATTTGTTATAGCTAAATCTTGGAAACAACCCAAAGCCCATCAACTGAGGAATGGATAAAAAAGATATGGTATTTTTATACAATGGAGTATTACTCAACTATAAAAAAGATAAACTTGAGGCTTTTGTAGGTAAATAGATACAACTGGAGACCATACTGATGAGTGAAATAAATTGGACCCACATGTGTAACCATAATATTGTCTCCCTGGTATAGGAACCTGAAGGAGTAAGTAAAACCCAAAACATACAATAGATGATATGAAAGGGAAACAAATGCTCAAAGGAAGGAACAACTAGGATGAGGGAAACAAAAAAAGAAGGCAGGCTAGATAGATAGATAGATAGATTATATGTTTACAGAACGATAACGGATAACTGTACTGCTGATGTCTGATGGTTTATTGAAAGGAATAGTTAATGCTTAAAATTTTTTATGTTTTGACCAGTTTTGCATACTTATATCTGGTAATCTGAGCAACTGAATTGAAGACGACAATATGCAATAGAACAACCATTGGTGAATTCCTACCATCTTGTCTAGTGAAACCCTGTATTGTCTCTAATGTTTTATTTCATAATTATTTTTTATTCTCGTGAATGGTTTGAACAATATTCTATTCTTACATCTGGTAATCTGAGCAATGTAGTTAAAGATAACAATTTGTAATATAATAACCACTGTTAATTCCTATCATTTTATTTTGAAACTGTGTATCATTTTTAATGTTCTTGCTTTGTTTTGTTTATATCTGTGATGTTGGTATGATGCTATTATTTTTTTTTACTACTGGATTCGAAATAAAAATAAAATAAAATAAAATAAAAAGAAAACCAACCACTTAGGAAAAAATTTTAGTCAACTGTCCCTCAGAGGACTTCTATCTAGAACATATATAGAATTTTTAAAAATCAGACCCCCAAAATTCAAAGACCCAATCAAAAAATGGGCATGTTAGATGAAAATACACTTCTCACATGAAGAAATACAGATGGCAAATAAATACATGAAAAAATGTTCAAGATCATTGGTCATTTGAGAAATGCAGATTAAAACAACATTGAGATTCCATCTCACCACAGAAAGAATGGCTATCATCAAGAAATCAACCAATAACAAATGCTGATGAGACTGGAGAAAAAGGAACCCTTCTCAACTGTTGGTGGCAGTGTAGACTCATGAAATCACTGTGGAAATCAGTGTGGAGATTCCTCAAAGTCTAGGACTAGAGGTCCCATTTGACCTGGCTATTCCCTTTTTGGGTATTTTTCCAGAAGAATAGAAAACATCGTACCACAGTGATATATGCGTGCCCATGTTTATAGTGGTGTAATTTGTTATAGCTAAATCTTGGAAACAACCTAAATGCCCATCAGTGGAGGAATGAGTAAAAAAGAGGTGGTATTTTTATACAACGGAGTATTGCTCAACTGTAAGAAAAAATAAACTTGAGGCTTTTATAGGTAAATGGATGGAAGTAGAGACCATACTCATAAGTGAAATAAATCAGACCCATGTGTAAACATCATATTGTCACTCTAGTGTAAGAAACTGAAAGAGTAAACAAAATGCGAAAAGTACAATAGATACTGTGAAAGGGAGAGAAACTGCTCAAAAGGGAAGAACAACTAGGATGAGGGAAAGAAGAAAAGAAAGAAAAATGGGAAAAAATACATATATACACGATAGCTAAGATAATTGTGCTACTAATTTCTCTTGGTTTATTGAAAGAAACAGTCAATGCTTAATTTTTTTCTTAAATTTTTTGACTAGTTTTGCATGCTTATTTATATCTGGTAATCTGAGCAACTACTTTGAAGATAACAATATGCAATATAACAACCACTGCTGATTTCCTATCCTCTTGTTTGGAAATTTTGTATCACTTTTAATGTGTTTTAAATTTTTATTCTTTTTGAAAAACAAAAACGAAAGGGGCACAGCCCACTCTGGTTTTTAGCCTTCCTGTCCATTCCACTAGAGGAGCCCGGGGCCTCCCTGGTCAGGCTCCTGCCTGTTCTTATTAAACTTGGTTCATAGTGTGCAAGCTAAGAAAGATTTCTGGGTTTATATATTTTTCCTAATGTGTCAGCCTGCCTTTTATTCTTAACTGTTTTGAAATTTTCCAGCTTCATTGTGCAGATTAAAAGTGGTAGATTAGGATTCAGGAGGGCTGCAATAGACTCCCAGCTCTAAACCAGTGAGCCTGCTGACCTGACATACATCTCCCAGATTCCAGTCCTAATCTGTGAGATGAACGTAAAATAGTGCAGCCTCACAGGACTAATGTGGGATCCAATGAGGTAATTCATGTGAGACCCCAGCACAGTACCTGGCACATGGTAGGTACTCGATTTGTGTCACCTGTTAACATTCTTTCTAGTATTGTTGTATTCACCTTTGTAAAATGGAAAATTCTCTAAACGAGGCAATTTCCAGAATTATATTTGAGTACTCTCTGAAAGCTCTACATAATGCCAGTGTAATATGTACTATATAGCCATTCTTATTATTCCTGGTATATTAGAAATTGAAATGAGCTAATCTAAGAAATCAGTAACTCTATCTCTCTCCAACAGACAGAAACTAGTCTCATGGTGAAACATGTGCAGTTCACTAAGTGGGCAGACCATGGGATTCCTGCCTCAACAGACTCTTTCATAAAGTATGTCCGGTATGTGAGGAAGAGCCACTGCACAGGGCCTATGGTTGTGCACTGCAGCGCTGGTGTTGGCCGGACTGGGGTGTTCATATGTACAGACGTCGCATTCTGTGCCATGGAAAAGAGCTATTTAGTAAGTGTGCAATCAAGCAGGGACTCTGGTGCTACTTGTAAATATGCTACTTTTAGCAGATTGCTAAGTGAATGGCAAGCAGGGCATTAGGGAACCCTGGTTCTTACACAACTTTCTGCAGTTTGCTGGGGTGGTTGTGAGGATTAGAGTGGGGTGGAAGTAAGCGGCTTAGGATAGTGTCTGGAATACAGAACATACGAAGGAGATGAGAGTTCCTTTTCATTTTTCTGTCCTCCATCCCTACACATGGCTTCTAATGTCTTGCTGGAGACAGGCCTGGTTTTAATGAACAGAAATAACAAGTATGTGAGCCCAGTGAAAAAACTGGAGACTTCAACAGTAATGAGATATCCCTGGGTCTGACCTAGTTTTATTATATGCTTTGCATTTGAGTGAATGTGTAGTTGCTCATCCTGCATCAAAGTCAGTTTTCTTCTATATAAAATAAGGATGGGTGTGCTAAGCCTGAACAACTCTTCACTCTCCTCCTAAATTTGCTAAGAGTTGTGTACAGGTGGTGATTATACTGTTTTCTTTACTATGGACTAAACAGATTGGGAATGCAACTCTAGGTCTGTGGCCCAAAAGATGGACTCACTGAGCTGCATCATGGGGATCCATACTCAGCAGCGAGGGCATATTTGAGACATTTGCTCTGGCAGCACATTCTTCAGAGTGATGCTGTTGTCAGGGCAAGTGTCAAACCTCTGCCCTCACAGTCAGCCCCATAGCTGAAGGTCCATGCTGACAGAAGAAAGGATGCTGTGACCTAGCACTCATCTTGAGATCACATCAAGTGGGAGAAGAAGAACAGTCTGACTTTTCTGAAGCTTAGGTCAAACCTCCCAGCATTTCCCTGATAGTCTCTGTCTTACATGTTCTTCCTGATGCCCTTCTCCACTCTCCTCAGAGACTTTACTAACCATAACATGCCTGTTATCTGCAGCAAGTTAACTGTAGAAAATTTGAGAGTAAGCATTTAGAAACTTACAAAGTCATTCAGGATTTTTCTGTGACATCCAGAGGGTGGTGAGTGGATGAGGCTTTATTTTAGCCCATTTTCTGTTAGGATAGCAGAATTTTTTTGACATAAAAGTGTATTGTATAAAGGTTCATTTTGTCTCACAGTTCTGGAGGCTGGGAAGTCCAGGATCAGGCAGCACATCTGGCGAGAGCCCAATGCTGTTCCAACTCATGATGGAAAGAGGAAGGGGGGCAAGTGCAGGCAGGAGAGAACACAAGGGTCAGACTGCTGTTGAACAGCACAGCCCAGTGGTGACTAACACAGCCCCACAAGGTCAAGATCTCAGCATTATCCCTTCCTGAGGGCTTCATCTCCATGACCCAAACACCTACCACTGGCAAGACTCAAGATGAAGCAGTGTGTTGATTTCTCTTCTGGCTTTCCTTAGCCTGTGTAACTACTTCATACTCTCTTTTTTGGTCATTTCAGATTTACTACCATACTATCATATCATATATGTACACAAAAGTTAAATTTTCATCATACACTAAACTTAACTTTCAAGTTGTATTTGTTAATAGTAGTGCTTTGCATTTGTGTGCAGTTGAAAACTAGTAGTGTTTGTTAGTAATCAAGATAAAGAAAAGGAAGAATTCTTTCTTATCACACCATTTTCTTCTTATATACTGAAAGAATTGCTGTTAGTAGTACCTATAAATTCATTTAATTGTGGTGATACTTTACTACTTTTATTTGTTTTATAAATTGGTACCATTCTATCATTAGCCAGACCCAAAATTTATCAAGCTCTACTGTCACTAGAAAATAACTATTTTTTGCCATCTATTAGCCAAAATTTCCAGGAAAACATGAGGCTCACTTTCACCCTTGTCTTGACTGTTGGCATGGTTTTTCAGTCTTAGCAGTTCAAAGCACTATTTCCCAAGAAGTCTGTAAGAGCATTAATATTAAGTGTGAATTTTTTTTTCTTTCTTTCTTTCTTTTTTTTTTTTTTTGTCTTATGGTACTGGGGATCGAACTCAGGACCTTGTGCTTGCCAAGCAGGCGCTTATGCCACTGAGCTATATCCCCAGCCCAAGTGTGAAATTTTGAACATCAACCTCTTTTGGCTTTTAATTTAATATTATATAAAATAATTATTTTGTCTTTGGATTCTTTAAAAATTATAAATCAGATGTAAATTAGTGGATCCTTTACTTTATTAGCTAGTACATCCTGGCAAGTAACACAAGTGTAGTTTTAGCACTTCACAATCAATAATGCCTATAAAATTCGATCTCTGAGGAATCATAATTTCCAGTCAAGTTAGTGTTTCAGTAGCCAGCCATGTTTAGAAAGCTGTCTTTTTCTTAACCAAGTATTTCAGTGATAAAACTTGTTTTATCATCAGTAAATTAATTTTAAAGGCTAATAATACAGATTTATTTCTATAATTTACCTAATATTCAGTTATAGTTTTAAAGCTTCTTAAAAAGCACACATTTTAAATTTTGATGAGATTCACTTATCAGTTTTTCTTAGCACATCCTTGATGTCAAGTCTAAGAATTCATTACTTAGCCTAGTTATTGAAGAATTTTTCTTAAAATTACTACTGTTTTCTACCAATTCTATAGTTTCATATTTTAGAGTGAAGTTTATGGTGCATTTTAAGTTTGTTTTTGTATAAAATATGAAGTTTAGATCGAGTTTCACTTAGTTTTCTTTCGTTTGCTGGAGTTATAATCTTAAACATTATATAGGGTGATTTCTTCTACTTTTTCTACTTTTTCAAAATTGTCTAAACCACTCTAGGATCTATGTCTTCCCATATAAAATTTAGAATTAGCTTGGCTATATCTACACCAAAAACTTGCTGTGATTTTGATAGAAATTGCTTTAACTCTATAGATGAGTTTGGAATACTTGACATTTTTACATCCAATTCAAGAACTTGGTGTCTTAGCAACTTTCTCATTGCCTGAACAAAATTCCCAACATCTACAACTTAAAGGAGGAGAAGTTTAATTTTGCTTATGGTTTTTATAATGGATTCAGTCCATAGTTGGTTGGCTCCAAGGAAGAAAGGGCAAAGTGGAAAGGCCTGGGCAGAGGACAGAGGTTTATCCTATGGCAAGCATGAGACAGAGAAGGGAGGAGTCAGGGAGGGAGATACACCCTCAAAGGTCATATCTTCAGTGACGTGCCTCTTAACAGCTCATTCAACTCCAAACTTATCAATGTCTGAATCCACTGGTGAGGATAGTACCCCCGTGATCCATTTACCTTCCAAACTCATAAGGGCTTGGGGGCGCATTTCAGAACTAACCGTAACGCTTGATATTGTCTGTTTCCTTTAGGGTTTCTTTGTATTCTTTCTTTAATATTTTGTAACTTTCAGCATATAGATCTTATATGTAATTTGTTAGATTTAGCTTATTTCATTTTCTTTGGAACATTTATAAGTGACATTGTGTTTTTATTTAATTTCCACATGTTCATTACAATGAATGCAGTTGATTTTTGTACATTGATCGTATATCCTCTGAACTTACTGAATGTACCTATTAGTTCTGAGAGGTTTTATTTTTTTTTTCTTCTTTTGGATTCCTTGGAATTTGATACATAGATGATCTACAAATAGATATCTCTCTTCTTTTCCAAATGGTGTGTCTTCCATTTATTTTTCTGGACTAATTTGTTCTGTAAAACACCCTCTATAAAGAAGATAAAAATATAAGCTACAGACTCAGAGAAGCTGTTTTCAAGCCACATATTCAAGAAAAGTCAAGAATCTAGAATATATAAAGAACCCTCAATCTTCCATAGTAACAAAGAAACAAACGAGTTAGAGATAATCAAAAGACATGAGCAGACTTTTCACCAAAGTGAGTGTAGATGACCAAACACATGAAGAGATTCCTCTGGGGAAATGCAAATAAAAGCCTTAATGAACTGTTGTGCACACCTATTAGAAAGGCCAATATAAAAATGGTGACAGCATCAAATGCTGGTGAAGATTTAGAGAACTAGATTACTCATACATTACCTATACTCGCACAATAGTCATGTACAGCTACTCTGGAACATTATGTATCTGTTATTTTTAAAGAAACAAAAACCGAACTTAAATATAACCCTGCAATGGAACCTTGGGCATTTATCCCAGAAATGAAAATTTCTTTTTATACAAAAACCTATTTACGAATGTTCCTAGCAGATTATATATCATAATAAAAATGAGAAACAACCCAGATGTTCTTTAACAAACTAGTTGCTACATAAACTGACACACATCAGTACTATGGAGTACTATTTAGCAATAATAAGGAGTGGATCATGGATACATGGAACAGTTCGATAGATCTTGTGGCAGTTGTGCTGAGTGAAAATTATATATTAAAAAGAGGTTGAGTGATTTTACTCATAAAATTTTCTGAAATAAGAGAACTGTAGAGACAGAAAGCAGCTCACTCACCAACTGTCAGGGCCTGGGAATTGGGGTATGTGGGTGTGTGTCTCAAGAGAGGGCAGGGGATGCTTTTATGGCAGAGTAGCTTTTCTTGCTGCAGCTGTGGCTATATGAGTATTTGTGACTGTTCCGGGGTGCCTAGAAAACTTGTGATATCTGAACAAGTTCTGAGCATTGTCCCAGGGCGGTTTCGTTGTTTTTATTTTTATTTTTATTTTTTTTATTTATTTATTTTTTTTTTTTGGTTTTTTTTCTCCGGTACCGGGAACCGAACTCACGACCTTGCGCTTGCCAGGCAGGCGCTTTTGCCGCTGAGCTAAATCCCCAGCCCCCTCGTTGTTTTTATATTATACCATAATTCTGCAGACTGGTATCAGTGGGGGGTAGAGATTAAGGTAAAGGAAACATAGGACCTTTGGTTTATTACAAAATAAAGTTTTTAAAGGCCTTAAGTATAATTTTAACTCATTATAAAAATGAACGAATGTCTACCTTTTAAAAATTCTGGATACTTTTGGGTAACGATAGGATACCACATGATACCCACAGAGCTTTGCAGTGCCAGAGCTGATGCACATCCCACACAGGTGATCAAGCTCCTCGGGGTCTGCAGTGTCAGACTGGCCTACAGGTGTCTCAGTGCTGCAAGCCTCTGGCCTCATCTCACTGTGGACTGCTGTTCACAGGCATGGGATCTGCTGCCTGCCAGCTGTGGCTCCATCTCTGTTCGTTGATGGGCTGTGTTTATGAAAAGCAGCTCTGCTATTCTTGCAGCCAGAGAAGGTCTTCTGTGCTTTTCCAGGACTACATAGCTACTTTCAGTTATCCTTCTGGATAACACAAAGAAAGGCACACACAAGGGCACATTTGTTGTTACTTCTTTTGGTGAAAGTTTTTGTTTTTTATTGGAGAGCATTTCTCATTGTAATTGATGATTTCTTGCATTCTCCAGAAAATGTTTTAAAACTAACCTTACTTACCCATTCAGCTAGGTTTTTCAGAAGCACATTTTCTTGTGGCAGGCAGTGAGATCTTTCTGGTCATGTCTTGACATCTGTGTTATTGAATAGAGCTATGCAATATTTTAGCAACCCACTGGCTTGTGTCTTTCCTCTACATGGGTAATACAAAATTACTGTCATCTTGTTACAGTTTGACATCGTGAATATAGTGACACAAATGAGAGAGCAACGTTACGGCATGATTCAGACAAAGGTGAGCTTTCCCTATATGAATTCCAATGAGGAGACTGGATAGAGACTAGCACTGTGTACACTTTATACTTTAAAAGCTCTGTTTCTTACATCACTTCACTGAAGCCTTAGTGTTTTGAGGTAGCATCAGTGGAGGTAGTTTTACCCTGGTGTTATCTATCCATGCATCCTCCCAGTTCAGAGCAATGAAGTCAGCTCCTTTGGATCACTCAGATCAGAACAGGGGCAGGGGCAGGGGCAGGGGCAGGGGAAGCTCTGACACTGAAGTCACAGGCCTGCTGGATAAAGCCATGCATCAAAGTAACATAACCAAACTTTTTTTTTTTTTTGGTACTGGGAATCGAACTCAGGACCTTGTGCTTGCCAGGCAGGCACTTGTGCCACTGAGCTATATCTCTGGCCAAAATTTTTAAAATAAATTCCTGGACAGCAGTTTGTGATATGCAGTTGCCACTAAAATCAAGGTTATTGGTATGTTATTAAAAGATATTGCTTATGTTATAGATTATTAATCACTAGGAAAGGTGATCAAGAGACTATATAAATAATTAACCACTAAACATATATATACACATATGTATATGTATAGCATATATACATATATATGTGAACACACATATATGTACAATTCATACACACATATGAAATGTTAAGACTTATGAAGAGGATTTTTATTTAGATTATCCAGCTAGCATGTAAGGAAATTGAGATTGACAGGTGCTTCTCAGTTTAGCTAAGCCTTTAATTAACTATGCTATGATCATTTATCCCTCTCATATTTTAAAAATATATTCATATAAAGCAGTCCTTAAATGTTTGTAGTCAAATATTTGTTCTTTTTTGGAAACTTTCCTATGTGGCTGAAAAATTACACGTGTTCTCTGAGAGTGGATGTCGGTTTTCATTTACTTATTACTGTGTTGTTTATGCTTACAGGAGCAGTATTGCTTTACCTATGAAATTATCCTCAAAGTCCTTAAGAAATTTCTGGCTTTGGAATAGAAAAGACTTCTATTGTCTCCCATTGTAATTACCAAATGGCTTGGAGTTTGAGAAGCACCGAGGGACTTGGGTCTGCATACTGTGTACTTTCTTGGTGCATCAATTATTTTTTTCCTAAAATTTCCCTAAAGGCAGCATCATTTAGTGTGGGGTGAACAGTGCTGACTCTTGATCTTTTGGGACAAGAACATAATACCCTCCCATGTTTTCCAGTGGAACAAAGGTTATATAAAACAACTTTGCAGCTTGGCTCTTTGGTTGAAGGGATTATAGAGCCCAGTAAAAGACTTAAACTATGCCGGTTAAAGTTTTATTTGGGAAGGTGACCAAGGGAAACTGAGGATTTCCAGGCCTTTATAAACACTTATTCTGAGAGATCATTCAGCCAATAAATGTTGGGTTCATATCTTGACCCCCTCGCAGGCATTTTCAAGACAGATGTCTATCCATGTTCTTTAGCTACAGTCTGTGCGCTCAGCTGGTATTTGAGTAACTCAATCTAAAAGGAGTCCAATTAGGATGGATTAATTTGTCATATAAATTGGCTTCCATTTGCTATGTTCATATGGGACCCCAGGAACTTCCAAGGTGTATGTACCTTCCAAGAGCAGCCAGACAAGGCCCCAGGGCTCTGGGGAACATCATGTGGGTGGGCAGAGTCCCCTCCCTCCATCACATGGGCACCCTGGTGAGCAGTACAGAACTAAAATAGATGTTTATGGAGAAAGTCCAAGAGGAAATGTTTGGCTGGCTGACTTCTTTCCTACCCCACCCTAACACTTAACATTACTCAGTCTACTTTGTTAAAAGCAGATATTACATTTTATTTGCCTCTTCCTTTTCAGCTAACCAGTAAACTTTGATATAAGCATTGTTACATAATTCTGAGTCACTTGTGGTATCTCTTACACCAGATGTGTTTTTCAAGCTAAGATCTATGATAGATCTCCCCTTCCCCAAGTTCCATTAAATCATTTCTTTCCATTGCTGCTGCACCTCTGAAAACATTTGGATGTTGGAACTGGAACCTAGATTTTGGAAAACCAAGCTCATAGTTTTGTAATGAAAATTTCTACACTCTAGTTTTGAAAAGATAAGATTCTAGCCCTTATTACATTTGTCCCATTAAAGGACTTGCTTCAAAAACAAAATTTATATGTATATATAAAGATAGCTGGAATAGGTGTATTGCTGTTGTCTGTGGTTTATTGAGAGGAACAGTCAATGCTTAAAATTTTTTTTTCTTGACCAATTTTGCACGCTTGAATTTGGTAATCTGAATGACTGATCTGAAAACGATATGCAGTATAAGAACCATTGTTGAACTCCTACCATCTTGTATGGTGAAGCTCTGCATCATTTCCCATGTTTTATTTTTTTTAATTATTTTTTTTACTTGTTACTGTCTTTGATTGTTTGATCAATCTTACATTCTTAGGTCTGGTGGAGTTCATTGAAGATAACAGTATGTAATATAGCAACCATTGTAAATTCCTATGATTTTGTTTTGAGGTCATGTATCATTTTTGTTATATTTGTTTTGTTTTGATTTTTGTCTTCATTGTTGTTTTGTCAGTTTTTTAATTTTTAAAATAAAAAAATTTTAAAAACGACTTGCTTCAAAACTTCAAACAGAAGGAGAAACTGAGATGGGGAAATGGAGAAAAGGGAAAAGCAAAAAAAAGTACACATACATAAAAGATAGTGAAGATAGTTACACTACTAGTTTCTCTTAGTTTATTGAAAAGAAAGGTTTGTGCTAATATTTTTTGGACAATTAAATGCTGATATCTTGTACTATGAGTATATAAAAATAACAAAATGCAATGTATTAACCATTGTTACCCTACTACTGTTTTGAAATATTTTTTTTCTCTTTAAAAAAGGCAAGTACAATAAAAAAATAAAGGACTTTTTTCATAGAATTATAGTGATATTTTGGTCAGTTAGTTTTGTGCCCAGTCACATCTAATTATCAGCTACAAAGCCATTCATACATGTCTTTGTACAGTATGAGTCAGTACAGATCAGAATATGTTATGTACTGAGAAAATTACTGATAGTAACCTATCTAAATTTTTTAAGAGGATTATTTTATTCCTTTGACTAAATGAACACTTAAATTGGTTGAATTAAAATTGATAATTCTCATTTTAAAAATAATTACATTTCAGAAATATATTTGATATTAAATAACATTGATGACTCTAGCTGTTTACACTGTGTATAGCTTGGGATGGTGGCAGTAGTCTATAATGCCAGCACTTGGGAGGATGAGGCAGGAGGACTGCAAGTTTGAGAATAATCTGGGCTAAAATGAGACTCATCTCAAAGAAAACCAAACAAAAAAAATTATTGTCTGAATTATTTTTATTTATCTGGCCCTTAGAAATTGTAAAAAAAAGTCCTTCAGGTCTTGATGTTACACATGTCCTTTCTTTAAGGACAATATATGCCTCACATTTTTATAGCTTGATGATTATTACTTTTCCAGTGAAATTAAATAAATAACTATGGAAATGATGATTGTGTTTGTTTTCTTTTTTAAGTTTATTGGTGGTATAATTCAGATCTGTGTAATGATCACATTCATTATAGAGAATTTGGACCTATGTATGATATATCTTAGTTCCCCCTTTTCCCCCCTCTCTTCAACTCCTCTTCCCCTCCTTATTTGCAAAGCTTTGTTTCCATTTTATCCTTTTTTTTCTCATTTTTTCTCTTCCACTCCTACCCAGTTCCCCTTTTCCTTTGAACAGTTACTGCCTAATTCACAATACCTATTACACATTTTGGTTCTTACTTACACGTTCAGTTGCTCATACCAGAGAGACACTGTGATATTTACACATATGTGTCCAATTTATTTCACTTAAGAGTATGGTCTCAAGGTCCATCCATTTAGCTGTAAATGTCTCAAGTTTATCTTCTTTACGGCTGAGTAGTACTCCATTGTATAAAAAAAACACATCTTTTTATTCATTCATCAATTGAGGGGTATGTGGGTTGTTCCCAAGATTAAGCTATTATAAACTGTGCTTCTGTAAGTATGGGTGCACATATATTGCTGTGGTATGATGCTTTTAATTCTTTTGGGAAGATACCAAGAAAAAAACAGTCAAATGGAACCTCCAGTGCTGGTTTTTTGAGGAATCTCTACACTGATTTCCACAGTGGTTGCATCAGTCCACACTCCCACCAACAGTGGAGAAGGGTTTTTTTTTTTTTTTCAGATCTCTGCCAGCATTTGTTATTGGTTGATTTGTTAATAGCCATTCTTTCTAGAGTAAGATGGAATCTCGGTGTTTTAATTTGCATCTCTAGAATAATCTGTGATGTTGAACATTTTCTCATGTGTTTGCTGTTTGTTATTCTGAGATGTGTCTTCATTTCAGATACTGATCTTTGGATTGTGTCTTTATATTGGAGGAGGCTCTGATTTTTTTCAGTTCTTTGTATATTCTAGATATTAGTCCTTTTTCTGATGAAGAACAGTTGGCAAAGATATTTTCCCAGTCTGTGAGTTGTTCTTTCATACAGTTGGTGACTTCTTCTGCTGGGTAAAAGCTTTTTAATAAGATGAGATCCCATTTGTTGATTCTTTGTAGTATTTCCTGTGCAGTCAGGGTTTGTTTATGAAGTCTTTGCTTACATTTATTGCTTCTACCTCTTCTCTCTTCTAGCAGATTTAGTGTTTCTCTTTTAATGTTTAGACCTTTGATTCATTCTGATTTTAGTTTAGTGAATGGTGATAACACATGAGTCTAGTTTTAGTTTTGGATATGTGGAAAGCCAGGTTTTCTGGCACCATTCATTAAAGAGGCTTTGTTCCAGTAAATGTGTTTGACCCCTGTGTCAAAGATAAGATGGCTGAGTGTGTTTGAAGTTGTTTCTGCCTTTTCTAATCTTGTTCCACTGATCCTCTGGGGTTTTTCTGTTTGTTTGGGTTTTTGTCTGTTTGTTTTTGTCAGTTTTGTACTGTTTGATCACAGTACCTCTGTGGTATAATTTCAAGTCAAGGATTGTGATACCACCTGCCTTACCTTCATTGCCCAGAATTGTTTTTGCTATTATAGGTCTCTTCAGGTTCCAAATGAATTTTAGGAATGTTTTCTCTCATTCTGTGAGGTATACCAGTGGTATTTTGATTTGAGATTGCATTAACTCTGTCTAACAATTTTGAGAAGATGGCTATTTTTACTATATTGTTTCTACCTATCCATGAACAAAATATATCTTTCTATTTTCCAGTAGCTTCATTGATCTCCTTTTTGAGAGTACTGTAGTTTTCAATGTAGAGATCTTTTACTTACTTTGCTAAATTGATTCCTAAGTATTTCATTTTTTGATGCTATTGTGAAAAATGTGATTTCTTTAATTTCTCTCTCAGTGAATTTGTTATTTGTGTACACAAATGCTATTGAGTTTTGAGTGTTGACTTTGTTTCCAGCTGTGCAACTGAATCTGATTGTTATATCTAGAAGTCTTTTGGTGGAGTTTTTGGGGTCTTCATTGTAACGTATCATGTCATCTGCAAATAGAGATAATTTAATTTCTTCCTTTTCTATTTTATTCCTTTTACTTCTTTCTCTTGTATAATTGCTCTGGCTAATGTTTCTAGAACTATATTGGAGTGGTGATAGTGGACATCCTTGGTTTGTTCCTCATTTTAGAGTGAAAGTTTTCAGTTTTTGACCATTTAGTATAATGTTGGCTGTTGGTTTGCCATACATGGCTTTTATCAGATTCAGATAAAGACCATCTATTCCAATTTTCTGTATCTTTTTATCATGAATGGATGTTGGACTTTTTCAAATGCTTTTTTTTGCCTCTATTGAGGTGATCATGTGGTTTCTGTCTTTAGTTCTGTTAATATGGTGTATTATATTTATTGATTTGCATATGTTGAACCATCCTTGCATCCCTGGGATGAATCCTACTTGGTCATGATGCATAATATTCTTGATGATTTCCTGCATTGTGTTTAGCAGTATCTTGTTGAGGATTTTTGCATCTATGTTCATTAGGGAAACTAGCCTGTAGTTTTGTTTTTTGATTGGGTCCTTCTCTGGTTTTGGTATCAGGGTAAGGGTAGTATTTGCATCCAGGAATGACTTTGGGAATATTGTTTCTCTTTCAATTTCATTAAAGAGTTTGACAAGTAATGGCATTACCATAAGTTCTCTAAGTTTCTTATAGACTTGAGCAGTGAAACCATCATTAGGTCCTGGGCTTTTCTTTGTTGGTAAATTTTTAATTTTATTTTCAGTTTCTGTTTCTTTGTTGATATTTTGTCTAGTTGATCTACCTATTTGTGACAATAAGGTCTTAAGTTCCCCTATTACAATTGTGTTAATGCTTAATTGTGTTAGATTTTTAATGTCTGCTAATATTTGTTTTGTATAGGTAGGTTCCCCTGTATTTGGTGCATATATATTCATGATTGTTATCTCTTCTTATAGTGTAGTGTTCTTCTTTATCTCTTTTGATCAGTCTTGGCTTGAAGTTCTCACTGTGAGTAGAATAACTATTTCTGCTGTTTTTCTGGGTTCCTGTCTCATGGAATATTGTTTTCCATCTTTTGACTTTCAATCTGTGAATTTCTTTTTGAGTTAAATGAGTTTCTGGAGTGTGGAATATTGTTGTATCTTATTTCTTGATCCATTCTGCCATTCTGTTTCTTTCAATTAATGAATTGAGACCATTTACATTGATGGTTATAACTAATACATACTGATTTGTCTTCCTCATATAATTTTCCTGTTGATAGTGCCCTGTCTTTTCCCTCTGTTTAACTGGTTCTCCTGCCTTTCTTCTTTCTATTGGTACTCTTGGAATTGTGGGCCTTTTTTTCTCTTTCTAAATTATCTTTCAAAACTCTT